CGCGAGGGGTGGGGGAGGGATGAAGTCACTGCACGACGTCTGAGGACTGGGGATGGGGGTGGGGTAGTGGACTAGGAAGAGGAGGGAAAGGGGCGGCGGGGGGAGGGCGATGCACAGAGGAGAGAAAATTGGCCAACGCCCCCAACTGTTATCTGATTTTAGATTTGGGTTTCAAAGGGAAAAAGGACAAAGAGGGTCGGTCTGTGCCCTAGGGGTGTTCGCACCCTTCGGAAGGGTCCGAAGCGAGGGCTTTAGGGGCTCCTCGCCCGGCCTCGGCCGGCACAGGCGTCCCGGCGCCTGACTCGGGCTGAGGTGGCCTCCTGGAGAGCAGCGGCTATGCAGAAAGCAACTTGGGAGGTCCCTGCGTCCTGGCTGGCCAAAGCTGCGGGTCCTTGGCTTTCTTCTCCATCCAGGGGTGTCTGGGAATGTGGGGGTGGTTTTGGTGGCGGGTTTTATCTGCTTGGTTCCGGCCCCATGGGCTTCCAGGCCAGGAGGCCTCAATCTGGGGTCGTTGAGCCAAGTAGGCGCTGCTCCCATAACTAGGTTCCAATCTCAGGGTCCACGCGCCGCCGACTGCGCTCAACGTTCTCTGAGTTGATAGACCCGAAGTTGCCTTGAAAAGGCTGTTAAATGCAGCAATGCTAACACCAGGGCCAAACGGGACGTTATTTTGTTTTGCTTGGCTTTTCCAGCTAGCACGTTCCAAAAACGACCCCCTTCCCTGGGAGCCACGGCTAAGCAGTGCCCCCCAGTAGCGGAGCTCGCTCCCTGATAGAACACAAAACCCCGCTTTTCTTTGCTTGATTCGCTGGGTTGCTGCAGCTCACTGGAAAAGCCGGTCTCCGCAAGCAAAGAGCCAAGCTCCAGGCAGACAGGGCGGCTCTCCCATTTTGGAGCTCTAGATGGCGCCAGCGAGCCGCACTCGCCACGCTCCTCTTGTGGGAATCAAGAGCTACTGTCAAACATAAAAGCAAATYAGAGTTTTCAGTTTTTTTAATGTGTTAAGAATGTTATTCCTTAAGAAAATTTGTAGCTAAATTATTCTCACTTAAAATAAACACTTAG